CGTTCCCAACGGAACATAGCACTGCTGTTTATTTATATATGGTATGGAGTTGGTAGCCTGGTGCCCAATCTTCCCTCTGTATACCAGTATGATTCCTGGCCTAGGGAGGTAGAGGAGTGCGTCCGTCGTCCGGGTATTGAACCCCGGACCACCTGAGGTGTGGTTGATGAGCGTTTAACCGTTGTTCCACCGACGCACAACATCAGTTGGTAACCGAACACATGAAAATTTCTGTCAGTAAATTAAGTAAATTACGCGCGTAATCTGAAGTCATGAATTGGTTGAGTATCGCTGAGAAATGACTACCAGTGAAAGGAACTTCAAGCTATTATTTATAGGATTAACAAATTCAGGATATTTATATAGAGTAAAGAGAAAGTGGACAAACCAACTACTCGATACTTCAGCACTCTTGTTCTTACAAATCATATTCCGAATTTAATGGAAAAAAATCTTCAGTGAAATTTGTCGGAGTGGCTCTTGAGTGTGCGTTTTTCCACATCGAAAGTTGTTAATGCGCAGAAGAAACAGCCGAGAATGAATTAATTTCATTTTGAGCATTTAGAAGACAAAAGAGAGCAAGGAATATTCTTCCCGGTAAATACCTTTTCCCATTCTCTGGCTTTGTAGGCCTTATTAGCATGAATCTTGTGTCCTGAATCCACGAGATGAAATAGAATAGAACTATAAATGGACCTTGTTCGTCCCTTACTTAACCACTATGCAGGATTTGGTGTTCGGAAATCCGACGATAAATACGCCTAATTGTACAGCCTATGCAGCTAACTGGCTCTTCATTATTATTATATTATTGTTATCCCTCCCTTGGGTTCCTAGTGGAACATAGGGCTTCAACTGCACGTCTCCACTTGCAACTTCTGTCTTCTGCTGTACTTTTCACCTGCATCCATGTTAGTTCATACTGTTTCAACTCCTCTTCACACGATCTCCTCCATGTCACCCTTGCACAGACGTCCCACTGGCCGCTTCCCTTTTGGGTTCCAGTTGGGCAATGGCCTGACGTGCGCGCGATGTCACCCAGCGGTCTCCTCAGCGAGTGTCTGACCCATCTCCACTTTCTCCTGCATATTTGTTGGTTGGCGATTGGTTCTTGTTTTGTTTGTTCCCATAGTTTCTTGTTGGTGATTGTTTCCGGCCCGGCCATCTGATCTTCAGTATAGAGCCAGCGAAGACAGTTGTTGGTTGATAAAGGTAGGTCTGCAACAGGCTGTTGGAAATATTCTTTGTTACCCGCCCGCCAAGTTTCTGATCCGTATAGAAGAACTGACTTGACGCTTGTATTGAAAATCCGACTGAATTTTGTTGTTGATGTTGAGTGACGAAGATTTCCATATTGGTTTGTTTCAGGTTGATGAATGTGTTTCTCGCCTTCCCGATTCTCGCTCGATTTGACATCCTCGTCCATTCCGACTGTCTGTAGTTGATACAATGCTCCCTAGATAAGTGAATGAAGTGACCTCTTTCAAATCCCTCCCGTTGATGGTGATTGACGGTGGATGTTGCTGTTGTTGTTGTTTGGTTATTTTCATCACCTCCGTCTTGTCTATGTTCACTTGGAGTCCTGTCATCGCCGGCTGCTTCTTCGACCAGTTTGTGGGTTTTCGCTCGCTTGTGAGTCTTCGATTTTGTGTGACATCAAGCATAAATCATCCACGCGTGAAATCCTGGTCTTCTAGGTTCTCCGCGTCGGTCTAGGATATCCCTGTCTGCTCGTTTCCCACTCGCTGTCTGACGCATAATCCAGTTAGTCCACCACAATTAGGAATATCAATGGTGATTATAAGAACCCTTGTCTGACTCCTGTGTTTATTCCAAACGCCTCGCTGAGTTTTCCGTTGTGGATCACATGACATATGTCATTGTCGTATAGCTGTTGAATAAGGTTGATGAATATTTGGGGTACGCCGTAGTACTCGAGTAATTTCCAAATTACTTCACGGTCAACGCTGTCGAAGGCCTTCTCTAAGTCTATGAAGTTGAGGTATAGGTTTGAATGACATTCCATGCTTTGTTCTGTGATGATGATGCGTAGAGTTTCAATTTGGTCGGTACATGATTTGCCTTTCCTGAATCCAGCTTGTTCTGGTCTGAGTTGTGTATCCAGTGCGTCGTTTATTCTCTCCAGGATGATGCGACTCAGGATTTTACTTGGCGTCGACAGGAGCATGATTCCTCGCCAGTTCTTGCAGAGTCCTAAGTCTCCCTTCTTTGGTAGTTTCAGGAGGTAACGTTTCCTCCAGTCAGTAGGCACCTTTCCCTCCTTCCAGACTTTTTGCAATAATGGAGTCAGCATGTCTTCTGTAGTCTCTGGGTCCTCCTTTATTGCTTCAAGGGGTATTCCATCTGGTCCAGCTGTTTTTCCAGCTTTCAGAGTCTTGATTGCATTCAAGACTTCAGCTCTCGTTGGAGGATTGGTGTTAACTTGCAGTTGTGTGCGCGCTGTTGTTGGTATTTCTGGACGGGTTGCAGGTGGTGGTCGGTTCAAGAGTACTTTGACGTGATCCGCCGATTCTTTAATCTGTCTTTCTTCCTTGGTAATTGGGTTCCCTTGTCTGTCTTTTACATGTTTCGCTTGTGTTGATCTCTTCCCGGATAGAGATTTGGTTATCTGATATAATGTCGTCAGGTCGCTTTTGCCTGCTGCCTTCTCAGCTTCAGTGGCCAGATTGTCGTAGAATTGTCTTTTGTCCTTTCTAGCATTCTTCTTCACTTCTTTGTCCAGCGCTGTGTAAGTTGAGTTCAGCGTCTCCTTCTCCTGTCCGTCCTTGCATTGAATTATTTTCTTTTTCACCATTCTCCTCTTTTCTATTAGTTTCCAAGTTTCCGTTGAGAGCCTTTCTTTGTCTTGTCTCTTCTTTCTTCCTAAAACCGTTGACTACGTTTAATTGAAAATCACCTTGAGAGAGTTCCAGTGGTCTTCCACGCATGATTCTTCAGTGATGTCGCGTAGTGTTTCCTGCTTTGCTCTGACAGTTGCAGTGAAAGTGTCTTTTGTGGTTGTGTCCTTCAGTAATCGAGTGTCGAACTTGCATTGTGGCCTATCCCCAGCTATCCTCGAGGCTTTTAGCTTCACCTTGAAAGTCCCTTGTACTAGATAGTGGTCTGAACCCACATCTGCTCCTCTCCCCGACCTTGTGTCCAGTAGGCTTCGTCTCCACTTTCTTGAGAATGAGATGAAGTCCATTTTGTTTTTGGTGTTTCCATCTGGTGAAATCCATGTCGTCTTGTGTATTTCTTTGTGTTTGAAAACGCTGCCACCAATCACCAAATCATTGAAGGCGCAGAAGTCTGAGAAGAGTTCACTATTGTCGTTCATTTCACCGAGGGCCTCTCGACCCATGGTGAGTTCTCTTCGTGTATTGTCTCCTCCCAGCTTCGTATTCATATCGCCCATCAGGATTTTGATATCGCCTTTTGGGACGTTGTCCATTATTGCTTGTAGTTGTCTGTAGAACGCCTCCTTCTTCTCTTGTTCTGAGACGTTTGTAGGCGCATAGCATTGAGTGACTGTAACTTTCCTTCCTTTTGAGCTGAACCTGGCTGTCATTGTCCTGGAGGAGATTGTTTCCCACTGCATGAGAGCTTTGGCTGCTGTTGGTGACATCATGACGGCCACTCCCTCGGTGTGCTCGTGATTGTCCTCTGGGTGACTGGAATAGATTATTGTCTCTCCAGTTGGTAGTTGTCACCTTCCAGTTCCGTTCCATCTGCTTTCGCAGATTCCCAACACTTCTATTCTGTACCTTCTCATTTCAGCGGCTATCTGGGCAGCCTTTCTAGTTTCGTACATTGTACGAACATTCCAGGTACCCATCCTTACTTTTGCTTTCATCGAAAGAAGGCACATCGGCTGACTGGCTTCCCGAAGGCTTTCACCAGCCTGCGTCATTTCACTTCCCCGATTCCAGCGAAAAATAAGGCTATTGTTTATAATTTTAGAATTTTTAATATATTTATTCGTTGAAGTTTCTGTAGCGATTTGGTTGTTTTACGAGGGTGGAGCTGCTATCACCACGCCCCAACCCTCTCTCTTAATCCGGGCTTGGGACCGACAAGAAAACTAGCGAGCTAGTAATCTAGGCGAGGTTCCACATGTGTGTGTACTGAGTATAATCGGTTTCCTCATCATTTATGTGTGTAGTCTTCTTCATCAGGTAGGTGAGTTTCACCAAGTACTACTACTGCGCCTTTGAATTGTTCTCATTAGATAGTTGGAAGCCTTGGGTAGAGGTTTTCTGTTTGTTAGTACTCACCAGTCAGCAAGAAGTATCTACAATCTTGAAAGAAGTCATATCCTTTTCTGAGATTCGAACCCATGTCACTAGACGCATGGTAGTAGTTACTAACTAATGTGTAACTGAAAATATCCAATATATTCCTAGATGAGGTCAATCTCGAGCTTGAATAGCTCAATAATAACATCTCTGACTGCAGCGAACGGTGGAATAGGTTCATATCTCACTTCAGAGACACAGGGATTGACTTGCTACCAGGGAATAATCTCGTTGACTTAGAATATGCAGACGATATGGTCCTTTTAGGCGAGGACGCAGACAAAACAGAGCAGAGTCCTCTGAACACCTCGAGCTGGTTGGGAAATGTGCTACACATGCGTGGCCTAGTCATCGCCTTCCTCGAGAACGGGCTATGTTAGCTGATATAGAGTCAGACTGGAAAAGAGCTAGTGGGGATCAAACCAAACAGGACACCAGTCAATGAAATCCACAACAGTCAGTTTAAGCCAGTGACGTAGGAAGGTGTAGACTTCCTGACTGACGGGTTGGGTTCCTCGGGACGTTAAAAACCAATGAATGCTGCAGACAATTGGTGATTTGGCTCAAAGTGATCGTTCTCAAAGTGGCTGGCCGGTTCAGATGCATCCACTCCTTGTGACTTATGATTTCCAGTGAGACTCTATTGTTCTTCGTTGTTATTATTCCTTATGCCTCATATCCCTGTTTCCTGTGTCTATTATGCATTTCTTGTACTTTCTTCTCTTGCTTTGTGTGTTACAAAGAGGGAGTGTGGCGACTTGAACTGCCGAACATATCTGGAAAGTTCTATGTCAAAAACAGACAGACAGGCAGACATTTGAGTAAGTGTAAGGACTAAAAGGCATTAGAATATACGAAGAGGAAATACCAGTCGCCTTTGATGTAAACAGTCTATACTGAAAATACCCATTCAGATGGTTATGGATGCACTGAAAACGAGACTAGACGAGGATAATGACCTGAAAGACAGGACACGATTATCCGTAGAAGAGATCATAAAAGAGGTTGAATTCCGTCTCACAAGAACATATTTTAAATTTGAAGGAAGAATATACCAACAAAATGAAGGAGGAGTAGCCATGGGATTGCCCATCTCACCAATAATAGCTGACATATTCATGGATTTTCGCGAAAAGAATGCACCTAAACCATTCAGGTCATCAATAAAATGTTGGTGGAGATATGTAGACGACAATACGTTAGTAATAATGACAGGGAACAATGTTGGGAAATTCTTCTTACACACATAAACAATCCTGTGAACTGAGTAGAATTCACAATATGGAAGTAGAGAATGAAATTGAGGAACTGGGTGTGTTAGACTGCAAAGTACAAAGAGTAACAGATGGTAGGTAGCATAAAAACGACTCTGTATAGAAAAAAAACTACACATTATCACTCAGCCCCATGGACTCACGGTAAAACGAGAATTAATAGAAGGTCTTGCAGATAGAATACGTAGACTAACAACAACAACTACAACAACAGAGAACCAGCGTAAAGAAATAAACGTCTTATTCACAGTGTTACTCGACAACAACTACCCAGACGAATTTATCATAAATAATATGAAAAAGAGGGTAAAACTAGAGAATGACACGTAGGAGGATGGCGAAAAGACGATCAGAATACCATAGAAAAATGGTACATCAGAGGCGATTCGAAGAAACCTCAGGAAAGTATGGGGATTCGCATCACGTTTAAATTAACGAATCTAATTAAAAATAAAATAAATCAACTGATAGATCCAATAAAAATGATGGATAAAAGTAGTAATGTAATTTACAAAATATCTTGTGTCGAGTGTCCGACTCAATGTGTGGGTCAAACGTTCAGATCACTGAAAATAAGAGTGAATGATGATGATGATAAACGCCTAACTAAAGGTCAACCAACAGGAAGGAACACAAGCTTACAAGAATTTAGAATAAAATTCATGTCTAGCTGCACATGCATGGAACAAAAGCCAGAATATTGATTGGAACAATGTTTGTATTCTGAAAACTACTACGAACAAAAGGAAAGTGAGACTTACAACCGAATCTATATTGATTAAGATCACTCCAGATGCACGTGACAAGAGTGACTCAGTAGCACAACTGTCAACAACCTGGAATATAATTCTGAATACACAAAAATGAATGGAGAAAGAAATAATGAACTATTTATGGATGAGTACAAATCATAAATGTGTGAACTCAAACAAACCAAACAATTCCAATACAGTTGATGTGTGATCACGGGCAGTAATTTTGCTCGAAATATTACCAATAACAAAAGTTATCATTGTGTGCAAACTATTGAAGTATAATTATACTTTATTTGATGTATTTCACAATGTGTGAGCATGAAATAATATCAATAATGAGTAGTTCAGTGAAAATGCATAGAGGGTATTGCATGCTTTAAAGATGATGCAAATATCTATTTATATTATTGTATTCTGTTCTCCTTCCATCTCATGGAATCTTCTGCCAATAAGTTTCTTGAACATCACAAGGACACTTGAAGTAATTTGTTGAGTGGATTTGCTTTTCGTTGTATTTGGGACTTGTCAGGTGGATTTACGTGCATTGCGCAGTGAGTAGGATATTTTTCCCACTGGGGCTCGAACACCAGTACGCGTCATTTGAAACGCTAAAGCCTTAACCAGTGAACCACTTGGGCCACCACGTCTTGCGCAATCGGTATCAATTATTGCTTACTTTTAGTACGATTTTGATTCGACCAAAATGTTCAGTCTCTGTTGATATGTCGGCTCCTTGTGTGGGTGCTTCGCCAATATTTGATAATTAACCTCAATGGTGACTGGCAGTGGAACGCAGGATGCACATTTCAGACTGTTTGGGACTCCTCGGTACACTGTGTTGACTGCTTAGGATTTCACAGAATTATGTCATTTCATGTTAATCCTCCTCTCTTTTCTTTTCAGACTAATCCTACATAATTAGATCGGTGATAATGTCATCGGTGTGGGTAAAATCTGTTCTCTTGAGCCACTTAAGTTATTATCAACCATCACTACTAACCGAACTCTTAATGAATTACTTTCTCTAGTGTATACTATCCATTCAATCGTGCTTGTTACGTAATTTTCTTGGCTTAAACTTTTTCCCTGTGGTATTATTATTTAATTTTTATATAGGCAAACCATTTCCCTGTGAACAATGTGATATAAAATTCGCCTCAAAAGCTCATCTTAGCCAACATGTGGCAGCAATTCATCAAGGTGAGAAAATATCTGCGTCTCTTTTATTGTTTTTGTGATGCTTTCAACTTATGGCCTTTTTCACTTGTATGGACAATATTCATGTCGTTAGGTGTCAGCCAGTGAAGAATAGTCTTTTCGTAAATTCGCTTCAAAGTTGTACAGTTATGCATATACAATATTTGATGAAAAGGTTAGATGGTTTATTCCTTTACGTTCCCAACGGAACATAGCACTGCTGTTTATTTATATATGGTATGGAGTTGGTAGCCTGGTGCCCAATCTTCCCTCTGTATACCAGTATGATTCCTGGCCTAGGGAGGTAGAGGAGTGCGTCCGTCGTCCGGGTATTGAACCCCGGACCACCTGAGGTGTGGTTGATGAGCGTTTAACCGTTGTTCCACCGACGCACAACATCAGTTGGTAACCGAACACATGAAAATTTCTGTCAGTAAATTAAGTAAATTACGCGCGTAATCTGAAGTCATGAATTGGTTGAGTATCGCTGAGAAATGACTACCAGTGAAAGGAACTTCAAGCTATTATTTATAGGATTAACAAATTCAGGATATTTATATAGAGTAAAGAGAAAGTGGACAAACCAACTACTCGATACTTCAGCACTCTTGTTCTTACAAATCATATTCCGAATTTAATGGAAAAAAATCTTCAGTGAAATTTGTCGGAGTGGCTCTTGAGTGTGCGTTTTTCCACATCGAAAGTTGTTAATGCGCAGAAGAAACAGCCGAGAATGAATTAATTTCATTTTGAGCATTTAGAAGACAAAAGAGAGCAAGGAATATTCTTCCCGGTAAATACCTTTTCCCATTCTCTGGCTTTGTAGGCCTTATTAGCATGAATCTTGTGTCCTGAATCCACGAGATGAAATAGAATAGAACTATAAATGGACCTTGTTCGTCCCTTACTTAACCACTATGCAGGATTTGGTGTTCGGAAATCCGACGATAAATACGCCTAATTGTACAGCCTATGCAGCTAACTGGCTCTTCATTATTATTATATTATTGTTATCCCTCCCTTGGGTTCCTAGTGGAACATAGGGCTTCAACTGCACGTCTCCACTTGCAACTTCTGTCTTCTGCTGTACTTTTCACCTGCATCCATGTTAGTTCATACTGTTTCAACTCCTCTTCACACGATCTCCTCCATGTCACCCTTGCACAGACGTCCCACTGGCCGCTTCCCTTTTGGGTTCCAGTTGGGCAATGGCCTGACGTGCGCGCGATGTCACCCAGCGGTCTCCTCAGCGAGTGTCTGACCCATCTCCACTTTCTCCTGCATATTTGTTGGTTGGCGATTGGTTCTTGTTTTGTTTGTTCCCATAGTTTCTTGTTGGTGATTGTTTCCGGCCCGGCCATCTGATCTTCAGTATAGAGCCAGCGAAGACAGTTGTTGGTTGATAAAGGTAGGTCTGCAACAGGCTGTTGGAAATATTCTTTGTTACCCGCCCTCCAAGTTTCTGATCCGTATAGAAGAACTGACTTGACGCTTGTATTGAAAATCCGACTGAATTTTGTTGTTGATGTTGAGTGACGAAGATTTCCATATTGGTTTGTTTCAGGTTGATGAATGTGTTTCTCGCCTTCCCGATTCTCGCTCGATTTGACATCCTCGTCCATTCCGACTGTCTGTAGTTGATACAATGCTCCCTAGATAAGTGAATGAAGTGACCTCTTTCAAATCCCTCCCGTTGATGGTGATTGACGGTGGATGTTGCTGTTGTTGTTGTTTGGTTATTTTCATCACCTCCGTCTTGTCTATGTTCACTTGGAGTCCTGTCATCGCCGGCTGCTTCTTCGACCAGTTTGTGGGTTTTCGCTCGCTTGTGAGTCTTCGATTTTGTGTGACATCAAGCATAAATCATCCACGCGTGAAATCCTGGTCTTCTAGGTTCTCCGCGTCGGTCTAGGATATCCCTGTCTGCTCGTTTCCCACTCGCTGTCTGACGCATAATCCAGTTAGTCCACCACAATTAGGAATATCAATGGTGATTATAAGAACCCTTGTCTGACTCCTGTGTTTATTCCAAACGCCTCGCTGAGTTTTCCGTTGTGGATCACATGACATATGTCATTGTCGTATAGCTGTTGAATAAGGTTGATGAATATTTGGGGTACGCCGTAGTACTCGAGTAATTTCCAAATTACTTCACGGTCAACGCTGTCGAAGGCCTTCTCTAAGTCTATGAAGTTGAGGTATAGGTTTGAATGACATTCCATGCTTTGTTCTGTGATGATGATGCGTAGAGTTTCAATTTGGTCGGTACATGATTTGCCTTTCCTGAATCCAGCTTGTTCTGGTCTGAGTTGTGTATCCAGTGCGTCGTTTATTCTCTCCAGGATGATGCGACTCAGGATTTTACTTGGCGTCGACAGGAGCATGATTCCTCGCCAGTTCTTGCAGAGTCCTAAGTCTCCCTTCTTTGGTAGTTTCAGGAGGTAACGTTTCCTCCAGTCAGTAGGCACCTTTCCCTCCTTCCAGACTTTTTGCAATAATGGAGTCAGCATGTCTTCTGTAGTCTCTGGGTCCTCCTTTATTGCTTCAAGGGGTATTCCATCTGGTCCAGCTGTTTTTCCAGCTTTCAGAGTCTTGATTGCATTCAAGACTTCAGCTCTCGTTGGAGGATTGGTGTTAACTTGCAGTTGTGTGCGCGCTGTTGTTGGTATTTCTGGACGGGTTGCAGGTGGTGGTCGGTTCAAGAGTACTTTGACGTGATCCGCCGATTCTTTAATCTGTCTTTCTTCCTTGGTAATTGGGTTCCCTTGTCTGTCTTTTACATGTTTCGCTTGTGTTGATCTCTTCCCGGATAGAGATTTGGTTATCTGATATAATGTCGTCAGGTCGCTTTTGCCTGCTGCCTTCTCAGCTTCAGTGGCCAGATTGTCGTAGAATTGTCTTTTGTCCTTTCTAGCATTCTTCTTCACTTCTTTGTCCAGCGCTGTGTAAGTTGAGCTCAGCGTCTCCTTCTCCTGTCCGTCCTTGCATTGAATTATTTTCTTTTTCACCATTCTCCTCTTTTCTATTAGTTTCCAAGTTTCCGTTGAGAGCCTTTCTTTGTCTTGTCTCTTCTTTCTTCCTAAAACCGTTGACTACGTTTAATTGAAAATCACCTTGAGAGAGTTCCAGTGGTCTTCCACGCATGATTCTTCAGTGATGTCGCGTAGTGTTTCCTGCTTTGCT